ATATATATAAATTGTATTTGTAAGTTTTGAGAATTTGTGAATACAAGAATACAATACAGGGTGACAGGATCATCACAAATTATGAATTTTTAAAGGTAAATTGTGAACATTTAGTATGTAAATTGTGTATCTTCATATTTGTTTCCACCTTACAAAATGGACCCGGGTCCACAAAATAATTTGTCGTTTAGCAATGGGCGCCTATTGGACGTCATGGACTCCTGCAATTCAGGCACCCCACACGATTCCGCCGCCCGGGGACCATCACTCTTATCACCGGCGAGCTGGAGGCGAAGGCTAATGAACTTTGGCTTCCGGGTTCTCACTTTCCGGGCAGATCTACACGGTTTAGCTTTGCTCTGCGTTTCTTGTTCATGGTGATGCCACTCTCATTGAGGTGGATTGCCAAAGTTTGCTCTCCACTTAAATTGGTTTGAACGAAAAATCTAATTAGGGACGAAATTGAGTGCAATTTTAAAACTCAGACGATATGGAGGCGTTTGGTAAATGGTTGTTGGCAGATAGTTGTTAGTTGATTGAGTTATTAAATTTGACTAGTTGAGCATTAATTGATTGTTGATTGAGTTATTAAATTTGACTAGTTGAGAATTAATTGATTGTAAAAAAGTGTTTGGTAAATAAGTTGGTAACTGATTATATATATATATAATGACTTTCTCAAAAAACTTATCGTAAAAGTTACTTTAAGTAGGTTTTTGAATTTTAACATTTTGGCAGTGTTGTAAAAATTGCGCCTAGCGCCCGCCTAGGCGCTCTAGGCACCCTAGGCGGTCCCCAGGCACCTAGCGATTTTTTCAACATTGCATTTTGGAGCAATAAGTTGTTACAAAAAGTTAATTAATCAAGCACTTATATATTGTTTAACTAAGTCAAACAACTAATAGTGGTCAAATAAGTCAAAATTGATTTTGATAGGCTAATTATTTTACCAAGGCCAAAATTAAATTAAGTAATAGTCTATAGTTGATGGACCAGAACATGTATTAACTTGTTTATATACATGGATTAAAAGTGAAACTATATTTAAAGGTCAAAGTGACATTTTAGGGCAAATAGTCTAACTGATACTTGTTTATTGATTCATTTTCTTTGATTTTTTAAAATAACTTTGAAATGTTTATTTAATATTTTTTCTTGTATGGAAACTTTGATAAATATATTTTAAAATTTATTTACTAATATTACATTTATTAACTTAAAAACTTGGATTATATATATTTTAAAATTTATTTACTAATATTAAATTTATTAACTTAAAAACTTGGATTATAAATAATATAAATTAACTTTTGTTAATGGAATTAGACAAATAAATGAAAGAAAATTGAGTGAATAATAGAAATCATTTAGGCTCTGTTTGGTAAACCTAGCTGAAAAGCTATAAGCTAGGAGTTGAAAGCTGAAAAGCTATAAGCTTGGAGCTAAAAATCGAAGAGCTGTTAAGCTAGTTGTTATGATTGAAAGTGTTTGGTAAAATTAGCTTTTTTATAAGCTGATAAATGTAAAAATACTAAAATGGACATCTTCATAAAATTTAAATTAGTTTGTTTACATATTAAAATTTAATATTTTGCTTTAAAAGAAAGTTAACATTTTGAAATAGAACTATTAGCATACTCATGATCTAGCATCTCATAATGAAGTAGCAATATTGTTGCAAATCTCATCTCATAATAATAATAATAATAATAATAATAATAATAATAATAATAATAATAATAATAATAAAACTATTTGCGGTGAAAGTTGCAAATAAAGGAGAAGATAAAAGGGTTTTAATTGGAAATGGTAAGTTATGTTATTTCTTTAAAATAATAAGGATAAAGATGGAAAAAAAAAAGTTAAGAAGCTAGGAGCTTATTTTGAAACGCTATATAATGTAGCGTTCCGAAATAAACTCTTATTTTAAGCTAGGAGCTTATTTTGGTAACATTACCAAACAGAGTTTATAGCTTATTAATAGCTTATATTAAATAAGCTATAAGCTTCTAAATAAGCTCTGCCAAACAGAGCTAGTCAGATGCACACATAACTATGCCCACACTAAAAATCACATGTTTTGACTTATAACGAGCGTATTAAATTTATTTATTTATTTATTTAGTATTACTGACTCTGTTACCATGTAGTATCTGCTCGTAACTATTTTCTCAACCTACTGAAACTTGAACCCACAACCTCTTATATGAGAGAACAACTTGGTGCCACTAGAACTTTTAAATTCTAATTATTAAGGTTCCGTTGACACTCGAAAATTTACCCCTAATTTTATTTTTATGTTTGGTGTTGGGATTATTTCTTGGAAAAGTGATGCAAACATATTTTGAGCACACTTTCACACTTGTTTTGTTTTTATGTTTGACTTGTTCAAAGTATACATACATTGTGCTAAATTGATTAAAATACATGCGTTTAAATTAATAGATGAACTATTGAATTATTCAATGATTTAATATTTAATGAGACATTTTCAGGCCATCTCAAGACGAAGGAGTCCTACTTGTCTTCCTTATGTTTTCTTTTTTCCTTTTTCCCTTTGTTTTTCATTAATTCTCTTTTTTCCTTAAGGGTCCGTTTGGAAAGCAGGAAAATGACTTCTGGAAAATGTTTTCTGGAAAATGAGTCATTTTCCGGAAAACATTTTCCTTTCCGGTGTTTGGCTACATAACAGAAAATTGTCTTTGTGTGTTTGGTTCATTTTCTAGAAAATGATTAAGAAAATGACAAAAAAAAAAAAAAAAAAAAAAATCACAAACATCACTGGAATATCAAAAGAATATAAAAAACATACAATTAGCTAGAATGCAAGTGCAAATTCAAATAATGAAAGCTCAGAAATTTCAGGCTCAAACAAACGAAAAAAAAAAAAAACAAACAAAATTAAATTTATAAGATAAACAGTGAGTGAAAAAGAAAAGAAAGCATATTATCTGTACTCAAACAAACAGACCAGTGGCCTCGTCTCCCTCTCCGGAGAGGGTGGTTGACATCAGATTCAGCGGTGAAACAATAGCCCTTGAACCTCCGTCTCCCTCTTTCTTTTTTCTCGATCAGTAGCGATGGTGGTGGCCGGACGCAGTGGTTGAGCAGAGCAGCGGCGGACCTGAGTTTCTTCCTTGGTCTTCTTCAGCAACGACGGGCAGATCGACGGCAGCAGTGGCGGATCTGGGTTTCTTCTTCCGAGGAACGACGGCAGATTGATGGCGGTGACGGGATGAACCTCCAATGGAGAGATTGACGGCGGCGGCGGGATGAACCTCCAACAATGGCGATGGTCTCCGGTGGTGCAGCTTCGCTTTTGACCTTTGGTGTTAACGGAGGTTGAGCTTCATATGATGGAGAACCAACGAATGGAAAATGACTTCCCCAAAAAAAAGGGGAAGTCATTTTCCGGAAAATAGGAGTGATTTTCCATTGACCACAAGTTATTTTCCATTGACTTCCATTTTTCTTGCCTAGCCAAACACCTAAAACCCGGAAAATGATTTCCAGAAATCATTTTCCGGGTTTCCAAACACACCCTAAGTCTGCCGTATCATTCTTTTGTATTCATTATTATAATATTCCCTTTGTTGATTGAAGTCACCAAATTAGCTGCCAAACAAATCAAATAAACAAAGTCAACCAACTTTGACTTAATACATGAATTAAGAATATTAAATTGATAACGAAATATATATATATATATATATATATATATATATATATATATATATATAGAATAAAGCAACAAGGCAATTAAAAGGCTAAATAATCATTTAGATTTATTGATTCTACTAGTTTTACATGCGTATTGCACGAATAGGTTAATGCTTAATGTTCATATTTAAATATAAGTATTTTAAAGTATACCAATGCAAGATTATATAGGAGGAGTTCATAAGTAATTTAGGGTGTGTTTGAAAACTCGAAAAATGATTTCTGGAAATTATTTTTCGGGTTTTGAGTGTTTGGTAAGTAGGAAAACATTAAAGTCAATGGAAAATGAAGTTGGGTCAATGGAAAATAGAGTCATTTTTTTATGGAAAATGACTTTCCTTTTTTTTTTTTTTCGCTTCAACCTTCTTCTCCGCTTCTCCGCTTCTCGACATCACTTCTTCGCCTCTTCGCTTCTGGACATTGCTTCATGGTTTCTCGACATCGAAAAATGGTTTCCGACTAAGAAACACCTAGTTCTGGATTCAAAACTAAACCAAATTGCCCACCCCTAAACACCATGGATAAGAGATAACAAACTATAAAGAAACAATAAAGAAATCAAATAAAATAAAACATATAATATAGATTATATTATATTATATGGATTATGAAAACATCATAACACATAATATAGAACTTTTGATAAGTGATAACAAACCATAAAGAAATCAAATAAAACATTTACGAGAGATACCCGTGAGAATATGAGCTGAACGGCAGAGCAAGCAGCAAGGGACTTAGATTTACTTTTTACTTATTTATTGATTTATTATTATTATTATTATTATTATTATTATTATTATTATTATTATTATTATATTTTTAGAAAAAAAAAATCAAACGGTATTCGGTTCAGTTTAATTTTTTACCGAACAATTCGGATCGGTTCAGATCGATTTTTTATTGAACCGTTCGGTATACAAGAATCCAATACCGTTCAGTATATTACCAAACCAAACTAGTTCGGTTCGATTTGGTACAGTTCGGTTCGAGAAAACTAAACCGAATTGCCCACCCCTAAAGTTAATTACCAAAATAGTCCCTTGACTATAGTGAAATTACCAATTTGGTCCCAAGTTAACGGTTGACTAACGGTCAAACAAACGGATGATCAAATTGGTTAAGATTTTTAAAGTTGAAGGACTTAATTGGTTAAAAAAAAATAGTCAAGGACCAAATTAAGAATTTCGCTAGAGTTAATGAACCATTTCGATAATTAACTCTTTCCCCAATTTGCCATTTTTGTCTCCCTTGTCTTATAAATTAATGTTGATTCCTACTCTCCATCCTCCCCACCAACCACTGTAACAACACTCTCATCTCATCCACGCTCCGCCGTGTCGCCGCCGCACTGCCGCCAAAATGACAGGCGTCCATGTCCTAATCTTCCCCTACCCTGCTCAAGGCCACATGCTACCGCTCTTAGACTTCGCTCACCAACTTGCCTCCCGTGGCGTCACCATTACCATTCTTGTCACCCCAAAAAACCTCCATCTCTTAAACGCCCTTCTCTCCGTCCACCCTTCCATCGGAACCCTCGTCTTACCTTTTCCGGCCAACCAACATCTCCCCGCCGGCGTCGAGAACGTCAAGGACCTGCCGCCCGATGGTTTCCGCCACATGATGCGGAATCTCGGCGAGCTTAGGGGCCAAATTGTCCGGTGGTTTCGCAGCCACCCTTCGCCGCCGACGGCCATAGTTTCCGACTTGTTCCTCGGCTTCACCAACGACGTCGCGGCCGAGGTCGGCGTCCGCCGCTACGTTTTCTCTTCCTCCGGCGCCTTCGCCCTCTCTGTTATTTATAGTCTCTGGCGCGAAGTGCCCAAGAGAAAGAATCCTAACGACGACGGAGAGGTTATCCGGTTCCCGAATATTCCCAGCTGCCCGGAATTTCCCTGGTGGCAGATATCTCCGGTGTACCGGAGCTACGCCGACGGGGACCAAAATGATGAATTCTTCAGAGAGTGTTTCCTGGCGAACATACTGAGTTATGGACTCGTGTGCAACTCATTCACTGAGTTGGAACGTGTTTATTTTAAGCATTTAATGGAGTATTTGGGCCATGATAGGATTTGGGCCGTAGGCCCATTACTGCCCTTAGAAAAAGGGCAAGCAGAGAGAGGTGGGCTTAGTTCAATCTCAACCATTGATATAATATCTTGGCTTGATTCTTGCCAAGATAACTCTGTTGTGTATGTTTGCTTTGGTAGTCAATCAATTCTAACCAATCAGCAGATGGAAGCAATAGCATTGGGGTTGGAGAAAAGTGGGGTCAGGTTTATATGGTCAACGAGGGGTCCGACAAAGGGACACGTGGAAGAAGGATACAACTCGGTACCTTCTGGTTTTGAAGATCGTGTGGAAGGGACGGGAATAGTGATCAAGGGATGGGCACCACAAGTTTTGATACTCCAGCACCGAGCCGTTGGTGCATTCTTAAGTCATTGCGGTTGGAATTCGACCTTAGAAGCGTTAGTAGCTGGAGTTCCGTTGTTAACTTGGCCAATGGGAGCCGATCAATACACTAACGCAATTCTCATAGCAGATGAACATAGAATTGGAACTAGAGCGAGTGAGGGTGACGAAACGGTTCCTAACTCGGACAAGTTGGCTCAAATACTAATTGATTGCCTGGATCAAGAAGGGAAAGGAGTTGAACAGAGGGAGCGTGCATTGCACTTGTGCGGAGCAGCAATGGATAGTGTCAACAAGGGTGGAGATTCATTCAACAATTTGGAGAACTTTGTGGTGCACTTGTTTGAAGAGGCTTCAAAAAGGTAAATACCATGCCGAATAGGCAATAATGTATAAGTTTAAAATTGAAAGGGTTAATAAAAAATGTTTTAAAATTCAAAAAAGTGCTACTGTCATTTAACTATGGTTGAAAATAAGGTTTTTTTTTTTATAAAGTGAATTTAAAAGATGGTAAATGTTTCCGATGAAATGCTATGCTTGTTGAAAATTTAGACAACAAACAAACACTCAGGTGTGTTTGGTTAATAGTATCCGCATAACCTTGGGAATATGAAGAGTGAATTTCATTTTTGGTCCTATTGTTATAAGAGTGTTTCTAATTTCAGTCCACTTTAATTTTTTTTTTTTTCATTTTACAATCACTGTTATTCAATGTGTTCCACTTTTAGTCCACTGTTAATATTTCCGTCAAGAGGCCGTATAATCAAATGGTATTTTGGTCTTTTTTATGTTTGTCTCTTCTCTTTTAATTCAGGCGCTTTGTCCTCCTCCTCCGATATTCGAAGATGGCTCTTCGAACAACGAGAATGGGAAGCCAAAGCTACATCGTTTCGTTCGTTCCAACATGGGCCGGCAAGGTTTCTTAGGTTTTAGGTTTAATGTTCTCATTTCTTTAGTCAAACATAGTCTTGGATGAGAAGAAAGGTCAAAATATCCATAGATTACACGGCCTCTTGATGGAAATACTAACAGTGGGACTAAAAGTGGAACACATTCAATAATAGCGGTTATAAAGTGGCAAAAAAAATTAAGGTGGACTAAAATTGAAAACGTCCGTATAACAGTAGGACCAAAAATGGAATTCACTCGAATATGAATATGGTCTTATCATATTCTCTTGTTTGGTTCAATGAAATATGAAATTACTATATGAAATTTGATATTCTCATACTTTGTTTTTAGTTCATTTTTTGGTAGCTTTCATGGGAATCACATCCCCCCACATTCTTATATTATGTAAGATTCTCGAGAATGTTACATTATTTCAAAATATCCCTTGAACTAAACGTTCCTATAGTATTATAGAGTATCGAATTACAGGGAAGTAAGAGCATTAAACACTAACTACTAGCCTATTTATAATAAGTTAATCGTAATGTAACAAGTAAATTGAATTAAAAGGAAGTAAACAATTTACTATCATAAGTGAGACAAATAAATCAAAAGATGCGAGTGAGTGAGAATTTGAGATTTTTAGGTCTAATGTTTAATTACCTAGATGAAATATGAATTTTGGTCTCAACAAGTGTGAAGAGTTGCTAAACCAATTAAGTCAAAGATAAGTGCAATATATTCATTCCACAAGATGATCACACAAGCAATGTAAAAACAAGCAACCAAATAAATCCCTTGACATATATATATATATATATATATATATATATATATATATATATATATATCATTTCCCAAGGTACAAGAATTAAGTGTAATTATAAATTCCATCAAGACACAATTTTAGTAAAGAATGAAGCATGTAATTTGAGCTCTTAACCACAAACTTCAACAATATGAATCACAAATTGTAACACAAGATTATTTTAAAAAAGCAAAACCAAATAAACATTTCATTAGGAATTGAAGGACTAGGCCACAAAGGTTCATTAAGACTATATACCTAAAAATTCAAAAGTGTTCTTAGCCACCAATAACTAACATGTCTCAAATACACAAATTATAAAAGAAAATACAATGAACAAAAAAAAGTAAAGAAAAAGGCAAGAAATTCTCCAAAAATGAGGTATCCTCCCAAACTTCTCATTAATTAGTCTTTAGTGTAGCTTGAATCTTACTTCATCTTCTTGTCTTGATGTGTAAAGAAATGTATGAACTATCTAATATTCTCTGTCTTTCATTACAGAAGATGTACACCCCTATATATACAAACTATAAGGTACAGAGAAATGAAATAGAATCAATAAGAATAATAATAATGAAACCAAGATTACAAGAGAAAATATTTGCTAGAAGAAATATGTGATTTATGTGATTTCTTGTGATTTCTGTGATTTCTTTCCTTAACACCCCCCCTCAAGTTGGAGCATGTAACAGAGAGATGCCCAACTTGGGAATAAGAGACTCCATGCGTGTCTTGCCCAACGCCTTTGTATGAATATCAGCCAACTGTTGTGTCGTAGACACATGCTCTATTTGTATCACACCTTGTAATAGCTCATCACGAACAAAGTGACAATCAACCTCGATGTGCTTTGTTCGTTCATGGAAGACTGGATTCGCTGCAATGTGAAGAGCAGCGGTACTGTCACAACGAATCTGCATAGGAGTCGTATGGTGTATCCCAAGAGAACGAAGAAGACCTTTTAACCACTTCAATTCACATGTCACTGCGGCCAAAGCTCGGTATTCAGCTTCGGCTGAGGAGCGTGCAACTGTGGTTTGTTTCTTTGTTTTCCAAGAGATGGGAGAGTCGCCTAGCTGAACGAACCATGCGGTCAACGATCGTCGAGTCAAAGGGCAAGCTGCCCAATCTGAATCGCACCAGCCAGTTAATTGCAGAGTATTTTTAGCGGATAGAAAAATACCTTGACCGGGACTTCCTTTTAGATAGCGCACTACTCCAAGCGCTGCTTTCCAATGATCATCACGGGGATCCTTCATGAATTGAGCCAGAGTATGGACAGCATAGGCTAACTCTGGCTGGGTGATTGACAAATAAACTAGACGCCCCACTAGGTGACGGTATGGTTCGGGATCATCGAGAAGCGGGGCTTCAGATAAAGCAAGACGATGATTGGGTTCCATAGGAGTACCCAGTGGTCGAGCACCTAGTAGACCTGTCTCAGAAATGATATCAAGAGCGTATTTTCTTTGACACAAGAAAATACCAGAAGAATTCCGAGCTACCTCTATACCAAGAAAATATTTTAAAGTACCAAGATCCTTCATATGAAAACAAGAGGCCAAGTAGGATTTAAACTTGGCAATCATAACTGTGTTATCTCCCGAAATAACAAGATCATCAACATACACCAAAACATGTACCACACCATGATCACTACGCAACGAGAACAACGAATAATCAGATGTGGACTGTGTGAAACCATACCTTTTCAGAGCACCTGACAACTTTGCAAACCAGCACAGTGGGGCTTATCTTAGACCATAAAGAGACTTCTTGAGTTTGCACACCACGTTGGACTGTGAGGTGCGAACCCCGGTAGAAGCCTCATGTAAACTTCCTCATCTAAGTCGCCATGAAGGAACACATTATGCACGTCCATTTGATGTAGCTCCCATGAACGCGTTGCAGCCACAACTAAAAGAGTGCGAACAGTCGTTAACTTTACTACCAGTGCAAAGGTCTCATTGTAGTCAAGACCCTCAACCTGATGATTGCCGAATATCACCAGTCGTGCCTTGTAGCGCTCAATGCTCCCATCAGATTTTCTTTTTATTTTGTAGACCTACTTACTCCCAAGTGGCTTCTTGTGTCTGGGAGCAGGTACAAGTGTCCATGTGTCATTCTTCTCCAAAGCATCAATTTCCGCACGCATAGCCTTCCTCCATGGTTCACACTGAATTGCTTGACGAAAATTTCTGGGCTCTACGTACTTCGGTATCAAGAGAAGCAAGATAACATTTATGAGTCAAGGAAAACTTGCCATACCCAATATAGGTAGTGATGGGACGGTTTATTCCTTATTAGTATTACATTTCTAGTATAAGTATTACATTTGATCTTGACCCGACCCGCCTCACGAACAAGAATTCGTGAGACGGTTTCACACAAATTTTGCCACTTTATAAAACCTTTATTTGCAAGTCCACAACTCATATACCAAAAGGAGTATCTAGAACAATAATCAAGATTCTCTGCCTACACTTTGTATATTTACATGTGTTTTTTTTTTTTTTTTTTCTTTTGATGTATTAAGCCAGATTCCAAAAAGAGGAAACATCCTTGGACTTGCGGGGAAACACTCTTTTGGTTTTCTTAATCAAACAAAAACTTTAGAATATTCCAAGAGAAAAACCCATATGGACAAATAATTAATATATACTACATTAGAATTATATTACTTGCTTTTAATTTCAAACACAAAAAATAGAACCGTCAAAACGGGCTTAGTCCGCCGGGCTTTCCCACCCCTCCTCGTCAAAAGGACAGGGTGGACTCATGTTTTAGAAGCCCGTTTTAAAAATGAGCTTTTTTACCCGCCCCGCCAGCCCGCTTTTTTTTTTTTTTTTTTTAAATTCTAAATCCTAAATAAAATAAAACTAAAACTAAAAGCCTAACCCCCTAAATCATAATACTCAAAGGCGGTCAAAGGCTCAGCCGCTCAAAGCCCTAACTCTCTCTTACCGGGAAATCGCAGATTCCCAATGAGTAGCGACGCCTCCGCCCGTCTCCCAACTATGTTGCGCCAATCTCCTAGTGACGCCGCCGCCCGCCGCATTCGGCATCACAGCCGGCACTGCCACCACGACCGTCGACTACTTCAAGCTCTCCGAACCCCGTCCAGCAGCGAGACGACAGTCCGACCGGCGACCCCTCCAGGTAATTTAATTATTTTCCTTTTTTTTTTTCTCTTTTCCTTTCATTTAATTTATTTTATTTTTATAGTTTACAACTGTACATATGATTATATATTTATATGAATGATATTATATGATTAGTAATTTAGTAGTTTACATTTGGATATGATTAGTAGATTACAGTAGTTCAGTACTACATATTTGTTTTTAAAAAATATGAATTACTGTAGATTACAGATTTACAGTGTATATGAACTACAACAATGTACTGATTTGTGTTTTTTACTTATGAATAAGTGTTTTAAGTTGATAACAATTAAGTTATTAACATAGTCACATCAGAGTTTAGATTTTAGGGACATATGATTTAAAGAAAAAGAAAAAGAAAAAAAGGCGGGCTTTGGTGGGGCCCGCGGGCCTAGGCGGGGCGGGACGAGCTGCCCCCACCTAGGCCCGTATTCTTGGTGGGCTTTTTAGCCCGCCCCGCCAGCCCGCATTGACAGCTCTACAAAAAAAAATACAATTGAGATCGGTAGAGCTATATTATAATAGAGTCAGTAGTAATCAATATATATATATATATATATATATATATATATAAAAGTTAATTATTAACCATTTGTTTTAGTCAATCTCGCTCTTATATTACCTTAATTATATTGAATAATGATGTTTTAAAGTTTTTAAAGAAAAATTTTAAGATGTTTTAAAGCTTTATTATATAGAGTGTGAAGTTTAGATGTACTATGATTCCAAGTCATAAGAAGTCATTATCAAAATTTTGTAAATTTCTTATTAGTTTCTAACTGAATTTAGAATGCCCAAAAATCTTACATCAGTAAATTAAGTTATCCAACAAAATTGGTCAAAAATTTTAGACTTGATATTTTTATTTATTATACATGCAAATTTTATTGCTCTTATTTCCGCCTACTTTAAGTGGTCGGAAATGTTCTATCAACATTGAAAAATTAAATAAGAGCATTCTTAATATTGGTCAACTTTTTTTTTTATTGTTCTAAAAACTTCTTCAGCGAACCAACGGTAGCTGCAGTGCAGTAGGGGCAGGATCAGCAGAGGCTCACAGTCGGACTCCGATCAGAGGCTTGTCGCCACCGCGCTCTGGGCGAACACCGGCGGGAAGATGGGCCCCACAGTAAAAAACGACGTCTTTTTTAGAGTCGCGCCGATTTTCCAGAGAAGATGAAGAATGGAAATCATCGTCAAGAAAGAACTGCAACGGCGAGCTACTAGTGCTGGAAGGTGCCAAGTATCCAGCAGGGACATCGGAAGCCGCGGTGGTGGTGAACAAAGTAGTAAGTAGGATTGCGAAACCGGTTACTCTGTTGGATATAATAACGTTTCTGTCTCATATAGTCATATGAGAAAAGATGGCCACCCATATATGTATGGAGGTTCTGAAGGTCACCGCTACCGGCTCCAAGCGGTGCAAAAGATGGCCAACCATTGTTTTCTATATATATATATATAGTATACTGGCGGCAGGCTGATCATCACATTTATGGTTGATGAACTATGTCATGCCCTTGAACACTAGGCTTCTAAAAGCTCGTCTAAAGTAGATATCAATATTAAGTATCAAAAAGGCCATTCAAGGTATGATGAGTTCAGTCATCCACGATAACATCATAGCCATAGAAGGTAAAGGCTTGTTGAGAAGAAGCTAATGATTAAATTAGTTCAATAAAATGGTCCAGGGAGCGCACACAGCACATTTAGCACATCATTATTTAGCAGTCATGAATAGGAACTAATGGTAGTTTGCCGTAATATGTTTCTGGAAGTTGGCTCTCGTCAATATCTCGAAGAAGGGTGGATTTCATTTTCTTGTTTTCGACAAAAATGATCTTTTTCTTTGTTCCCTTCTTTATCCTCACTCCTTCCAAACAAACAGATTACAGATCCTTCCTTCTTATTCTTCTTCTTCTCTCTCTCTATCTGTGATGGAGCAGGAAGAAATGAAGATCAGCAAGTTACGGCGTTTATGGAGATTGACTTAAAAATTTAAGATTGACTTGAAAAGAAGGCCCACATCAGTTAATAACCTATGCCATGTCATCATAGTAACTGGTAACCTATAAAAATTGTTAAATAAAAAAAATTAATGATTTGTGAATCTAAATGGACCTTATGAAAAGATTAGGGTGCGGCATGAATAATCCAATATAGTTCAGGGTATGGAAGGACACTTTAGACTTTTTTTTTTAAAAAGGGTCAACTTTTATTTCAAATATAATTGACCATTATTAAAAGTAACGATCTGCTTTCATTCGAGATGTTCTCCAAACCAAAACTTATATAATAAAACATTCAAAGATGAGGGACGAATTGAAAGTCATACATATGGTCAAAGGTCAAAGCTAGAGAAAAGAATGTTCAAAGCTCATACCATCCAAATTAAGGTAGGTTCTAGGTTGTCAAGTTTTTATGCAATTCTCTTGCTAACTTTATTCTAGATTAACTTATCCATATCATCAATGATGAACACACTAACTATATTGAAGAGGAAATCTTTTTAAAATTAATAAATTGTTTTTCTCTGTTTTCTAGTCACCAATCGCATTATATGTCTCTTCTTTTAAGTGATTCTCTTGTGAGACCATGACATGTCAGATCAAGATGAAAATATAATACTTATATTGAAAAATCTAATATTAATCATAAATAAATCAAAATGTAAAAGTATTACATTGTTCTTCAAAAATATTACATTTTTCATTATAAGTAATAAATACTCTATTCATGATTAGTATTACATTTATCATCAGTATTACATTTTTATCTTAATCCGACCAGTCTCATAACATTCAAGGATCCGTGGGGCAGACTTACACAAGTTTTTGACTTTTTGAATTGGTTTTTGCCTTCTACCTGCATAAACATTTTTCTGGTAAAATTTCTCTCCCTTTCTATTCGTAATACTGATGGTCTGTTTGGTTGGGGGTAATTTGGCTATAGTTGAATTGCAATTCAGTGGAAGTCACAATTACGCCGTTTGGTTGGAGAGAATTGCAATTCCATTCCCTCCTTTTGCTGAATTGCAATTCATGGGCACCCCCCTATGAATTGCAATTCGGTGGTCGTGGGAAAAGAAAAAAGGGATGAAATGACAAAAGTACACTTAATTATTACTACTATTATTATTACATAAGGACATTTTAGTCTTAATATCACTTCTTTTATTCCTTACCCAATAATTCTATTCATCCCTACCAAACAATGTAATTTGAATTCCTATTTTATTCCACCTTATTCTTTTCCCACCGAATTGCAATTCCTTTCCACCCTAATTCCTTACTCCCAACCAAACGCCCTGTTATACGAGTTGGTATACCATGGACCAGGGTCCACCTTGAAAAGGTGGACCCTGGTCCTAAACATATAAATTATGTATTTTTAGTATTAAAATTGTGAACATTTAGAATATAAATTGTGTTTCTAAGTCAAAACACATAACAATTATAGAAAAGAATTTGTTAATTCAATATAGGGTCATCAGATCCTAATCTATTACAATTGTGTGAATGCAGTATTTGAAAGTAACTTGTGAATACAAAACAATGTAATCAATTACATATATGTTTATATTGTATATTTGTAATATACAAATTGTGAATTTTAAAAGATAAATTGTAAATATTTAGACTCAAATTCACCTTCGGGTCCACCCAATAATTTGCGCCAAAGAAACGTGTGGGCTTACTAAAAAAGTAAATAATTAACAAAGATGGTTTGCCAGTTTTTTTAAATTATATATTTTTTTGTCTTTTGAAAAACAGTAAGCTAGATTCCAAATAGTAGGTGGAGTTTCGAGGAAACACGGTACACTTTTGGTTTTCATAATGATTAATCTGCCAGCCAAATTTGAATCTTTTCACCCAATTCAACAAGCCGTGGAAACTAGAAAGGAGACGCCATAAACTCCATTATATTGATCTCTTCATTCCAGCACTCCAAATATCACATTATATTTCCATCATCAAAAGCCCTTCTAAGAAAAAATAGAAGCAATCTTAGCTTGATATTATATATATGATGCAGAAAATGGCAGCTTCTTGGCTTAACTGGAAAATGGAATCCTACCCAGACTACCAAGATTTCTTCCTTCTTCCCTTCCTGCTTCTCTACTTCCCCACGCTACGTTTCATTCTCGACACTTCAATCTTCGAGGTATATTACCTACGCCAATATCTATAGCTAGTAGCGAATGCGTAACTTTATTTTCTTATACAGTCACAATTTCAAAAAGCATGTAAGGTGTTGGACTTGGCCCTTTCGGTCCAACAACCCCTTAGCATCTGGTGCTGGATTTGGCCTTTCACCGGCCTCTGTCCAACATTTACAAACCATCACAATTGCCAGGGACAGGGTGCTGGATTTGGCCATTCACTGGCCTCGGCCCAACATTTACAAACTCTTCTATCTGGGAATGAATATTTATATGTATATGATGTTGATGATAAGTGTACTAGTGTTGCAGAAAATGGCAAGAAGGATGGTATTAGGGGCGAAACATGGCAATGTGGAAATCAAGAAAGGCCCTAAGAGGAAGAAGATCGACAAGTTCAAAGAGTCTGCTTGGAAGTTCCTCCATTACTTTTCTTCAGAGCTTTTTGCACTTTATGTTTGCTATGATGAGCCATGGCTCACCAACACAAAATACTTTTGGATGGGCCCTGGTGAGGGTGACCACCTTTGGCCAGATCACAAATACAAGTATGCTACTTAACCTCTGTCTCTTCTCAGTTAGTTAACTCATTCTTTTCATTAACAAAATAATGTAAAGAAAATATATATATAATTTGGTTAAAAGGTTGATTGTATGCAGTAAATTTGAATGTAATAATTAGTGTGTGGGTGATGATCTGATGTGATGTGCAGGCTAAAGATGAAGGGATATTATATGTATGCTGGAGGGTTCTATATTTACTCCATTTTTGCATTGGTGTTTTGGGAAACAAGACGTTCTGATTTCGCAGCATCTATGGCTCATCACATAACATCAGTCTTCCTCATTCTCTCTTCTTATATTTTGAGGTATGTATATATACTATATACTAGTTACTCTTGTCCATAATCATCATATCATGGAATGCTTTCCCTCTACTATATATATATATTTTAAAGTTGTATTGTGTTTGTTTCTACTGATATGTGTGAGGACAATTGTAATTTTAGTTTCTAAGTTATTGTTAGTTGAATAGTGATTTTTTTTATCTATATTTGTTTCTTGTGTGCATATATATAATGTGTGGTTTTGTGCAGGTTTGGGAGGGTTGGTTCAATGGTTCTACTACTTCATGAAGGGTGTGATGTGTTTATGGAATTTGCAAAGATGTCTAGATACAGTGGCTTTTATGGCTTGTCCGACCTTTCTTTTCTTGGTTTTGTGCTGTCATGGCTCACTGGCCGTCTAATCCTTTTCCCCTTCTGCGTCCTCAAGAGCACAAGGTATGTACATTCTCAGCTCCGCCATTACAGTGTTGTAAAAATCAGCTTAGGTATTGACTAGGCGCTAGACACCCTTAGGTCAAGGCAATTTCAGCCTTAAGCGGCTTTTAATCGGCCTGCGGACTAACTGGCCGACTAGACGCTGAGTTGGACGCTGACTCGGTAGAGTTGGCTCCCTTAGGCCGAGACAATTTCAGCCCTAAGCTTTTAGTCGGCCGACTAACTGGCTAACTAGACGCTGAGTTGGACACTAACTCGGTAGAATTGACGCCCAATACAATCGAGTCAGTTAACATATGTAATTGACTAGTTTGTGGGATTATAGTTTACAATATACTCAATTAACTTGACCACGTAGGCGCCGCCTAGGCACTTGGTGCTCTAAGGGGCGCCTAGTGCTCTAGGCGCACGGCGCACCCCAGGTACCGCAACATTGCTTATTACAGAGTAATATTTATAATAGTTGAAATTGAGCACATGCTTCAATTTTGCTCGTCATATTGAATTTAATATATATATAGTTTTTCTAAGACAATGTTCAATGTTTTCTTAAAGATGTCTTCCGTTAATGTTTTTGTTTTCATTAACAATTAAGACTTCAAAACATTACAGCTACGATGTACTTTTCATCTTGGACAAGGATAAGCATGGCACAGCTGAAGTTATATACTACTTTATGTTCAATGCTCTGCTGTTTGGCCTCATGCTTCTTCACATATACTGGACGAAGATGATCCTCCGAATGCTCATAGGAAAAATCCGGAATGGCGAGATCAGCGACGTTCGATCGGGTAAGAATACCATAAGACCAACACTCTGCCCTTTAATTGAGTCAGGCAAGTACAAACAATTAAGGTTTACTCTAGACAACTCGTGATCTAACAAAAACAAAATCATATATTGCCTGGTTGCAGATTCTGAAAGCGATGATGAACACGACGACTGAAGATCGACAATGGACTGGGATTGAAGAGAGGGAGTGTTGTAAAAAGATTTGAATTATATTTTGTTCTGTCAATGTTTAACATTCATCGGTAGATAAATATATAAAGATTAC